GGTGGCCCCTGAGCCTGTGTCATGGTGGGAGGGTGTGGCAGAGGAAGCTGCTCGATTAGTGGCAGCAGGAGATAGAGGGAGAGGAAGAGGAGGGGCCAGGGTCCCAAGGTCCCTTCAAGGGCACAGCCCCAGGTGGCCTGGCTCCCTGACTCCGCCCACACCTCCTGAAGGCTCTGCCACCTGCCAGGAGCACCTTCCATGTATGGCTTGGGGACCCCTTACCACAAGGCTGCTGTGACTTCCTCTTCCGTGTCTGGTAGCCGAGGTGAGGAACTGAGTGCTCAGTGTTCACTGAGTGTCACATTCTCTGGGACTGGCCCCCTTGGTCTCTGTGCTTGCCTTGTCGCTCCCAAGTGATGTGGTGACTGCAGGGCCCAGGAGCTGACTCTTGGTTGAGGGAGGCGCAGAGGGTCTTGCTGTCCCTGGGGAATGGCCTCTGAGCTTGGGGAGGAGCTGGCAGGATCCTCCGGCATTCCGGTCCCTACTGGCTCCTCGATGACCCCACACCAGCTGGTAGCCACTTGACGAGTGTCAAGGAAACCAGCCTGCTCCCCAGAACAGGGAGCAGCACAGGAGAGAGGACCGGCGAGCTATGACATGGTGGATCGATCCTCCTCAAACCCAGAGCACTGAAGAAGTTAGGATCTCAGGATTTGGGGTGGGAATACTGGAGATTGAGCCCAAGCCTTCCCACCAACCTGCATTCCCAGTCCTTTTCTTAATTTTTATTTTGAGACAGGGCCTTGCTAAGGTACTAAGCTGCCCAGACTGGGCTCAAACTTGCCATCCTCCTGTCTCAGCCTCCCAGAGCCCTGGGATCACAGGCGTGCAGCACCTCGCTCTGCAGGATTATGTGTTTTTACTTAGCCCCCAAGGGGATTCGGATGCAGAATAAAACTTGGATACCACTGTAGAAGTGATCAGAATGTGTGGGGTTTTAATGAAATGGAATATAACACACAGCAAGATACAAATTCTACATCTTGCCAAGAAAAAAAAAAAATCAATGAACAAAAATGGTCCTTTCCAGTTAATCTAAGTTTAGCTGCATAGCAACAAGCCTTTGATTTCTGTTTTACTGAAAAGCGGCCACATTTAGAGGCTTCTGGCCTGTAGACCCTAGAAGACAGAGGTAGCCTCAGGGAGCAGTACCTGTGCCGGAGCTGGGGCCCATCACTGCAGGTGTATTTCCACTCACTCGCCCTCCTGCCGGGCTCTGAGGCCTTTGCAGAGGACGACTGTGCGTTCGGAGTCCAGCACGACCAGCTCAGAGCACAGACCCCCTTACAGTCCAGCCAGCTCATAGACGTGCACGGCGCTGAGTTACATCTATAGCCCTCCCTGGCCAGCAAGCCTTCTGAAAGTGCCTCTTTGGAGCACAAGCCAGCTCAGAACGCAGCCCAAAGACTTGTTTTATTTTCTAAGAGCCTTTCAGGCTTTCTGCCAAATAGGCTCTACAATGCTTTCTCTTAGCTGTAAGCATTTGTGTGGCTATGTTTTCCAACAATGCACCACACATGATATTCTGTGTTTCGTTCAGAAGAATCAAGCAATTGTGTCAGATAAATTGCATTGCTTGACTTTTTGGAGAAAAAGCTCTCTTTTCCTAAGACAATCATATATTCAGATTTAAAAATATTTCAAACAAAGTAAGTATTCAAAAGTACAATTCCAAAATGAGAAAAAGATGAACTGTGTTCTAACAGGAGAGGAACAAACCCCAATCTGTCAGTTATACTCAATTACATTCAAGGGAATGGACAAAAAGATAAAAATGCATTTAAAAACCTCCATTGTCACAAAAACTCCTATATGGGATCATTTATTTACAGGGGAAACAATATAAAGAAAAAGGTGCATATAAAATAGGAAGCCTGGCTGGGGATTTAGCTCAGTAGTTCTGCCGCCTGCCTCGCAAGCACAAGGTCCTGAGTGCGATCCCCCGTACCAAAAAAAAAATAGAAAGCCTGGTATCCTCAACACTGGGCCACTGGGGACAAAGTTTTAGATATTAACTAAGAGACTGCACAAAAATCAATCAGTTATGCATCAAAAGCTACCTGATCTCAAGCAAATAAAATAAAGTATCTTTCTCTTATTTCTAAAATAGGATCAGTGGAGCTTACTTTAAAAGTCTGTTAACCAGTGTACTGGTAATGAATTAACAACTGTTTTACTATTTATAGTTTAGAGCTAAATAAAGGTGTGGATCATGCTGTGAGCATCACAGGCTGCTGGCTCTCCAGTGGATCTGATGAGAGGGGCGTGGGGCAGGAAGGGACTCAGCTCTGGGTTCCCCGGGTGGGGGCATCAGCTGAGGGACAGCGGAGGATGGGACGGGATGCCCCGACCCGGCAAGTCAGGGGCTGACACCCCCTAGTAGGCCATTACTGGGCCCCGACGAGGAGCAAGGGTCTCGGTCGCCCTGGGTCCTAATCCTCACACCGTCAACCACTAACTGGACCCGTGACCTGGGAGAGCAACCCGAGCTCTCTGCGCTTCAGTCTCGTCACTGTGGAAGCCGTGTAACGACGCCCAGCTCGAGGGAAGGCTGCCGGCTTAAGTGGGGTCTTGTGTGTGGTGTGTTGATCGCAATGCTTGGCACAAAATAAACATTCAGGCAACGCTTGCAAGTGGTCCTAGCAGTAACAAGTGACAAAGTACAGTCTGTTTCCAGGTTCTTCCATCCTAAAATGGTTAAGGGAAATTGAGGCCACAGTTCTGTAGGGACTGGGTTATCAGAGCAGGCACACAGGGCATAAGGCAAAGGACAGGCAGGAAAACAAGCCATGTGTGGGTGACCAAGGCATAACCACACGGTAGAGAGGCAATAATAAAACTGGGACAAATAAACAGATTTTAAAGCCAGGCCTGGTGATACACGCCTGTCATCCCAGCACTCGGGAGGCTGAGGCAGGAGGATCACTGAAAGTTTCAGGCCAGCCTGGCCTACATAGTGATCATACACTAGCCTGAACTGCATAGCAAGACCCTGTCTCAAGAAACCAAAAATTTTTATTAAAAATCAGATTTAACAAGTAGCAAGTCAGCATGATGGGTCTGCACCAAACCTAATTTGAGAGAGCTGTGGGCAGGAAGAACTCAGGGAGAGCAAACAGTCTGCTCCTGATACACAAACCCTGCTGCTGGGCGACTCCTTTGTAGCTGAGATCCAGGACTGGGGCTCCCCTCACGCCGTAAGCAAACACAGGCCCATGTGCAATGCTCTTCGTTAGGCCCAGGAACTGGAAGGCGCAGGTCTCACTCCTCGGGGCTACTCAGCCCCGCCTTCAGGTCCTGTTTGCTCGTGTTGCACACAGCTTTAGCCAACAACTGTGCCTGGTTTCCTAGCTCATGACGGGCTGGGGAGAAAGGGAACTCTTGTAGTGGTGGTGATCCCGTCTGAAAGGCAGGCACTACACACAAGTATGAAATAAGCAGGGCTATGCCCTCCAAAGCATAGTGTTGTGCTATTTTACTCAAAGGCAAATGGCTCGTAAACCAAGGAAGCATGCATTACGGTACCAGATATTCACAATGATAACTTAGGCTCCCATTTAATAAAACATCAGCCACCATCAGGGTACCAGGCCAGAGCATGGAAGTCCCTGTCTTCGCCCATTGGCAAGTCTTACAGGCCCTAGAGCAGACCCGGCCTGGATTCTCAGCTGACTTCCCAGAACTTCCCCATCCCCACCCTCAACTAACACACGTCTCACCTGGGTCACAGAACTGGCCTGGTACCTGCACCCCGAAATCAACCCGCCACCTCCCAAAAGCCCAGGGGAGCTCTGAAGGCCAAAGTTGGTAGAAGGCAGGTCCCTGCTTTCACCCTGCAGGAGCTCTCTCTTGTCTGAAAAGGAAAACCAGAACAACTGTGCTGTTTTGGACACCTGAAGAGCTAGCTGACTGCTGCTTTCCTTTCATGACCTCGCCAACCCCCTCTATTCCTGGGGTCCCCAAGTTCTCAGACCCTTGTAACTCGCCCCTTTTCCTGGAGAAACACCTCAAATGGCAGCTCCTCCTGTCTCTCTGAACTTCCGGCCCAGCAGCACCCAGGCGTTCTATTTTATCATCATAATCATTAACTACAACCTGACTGCAGATATCTATGGGGTACGGCGCAGTATACAATGTGATCAAATCACGACAACTGGCAAATCCATCCTCTCAAGCATGTGTCGTTTGTGTTGAGAACATGTAAAATCCTTTCTCCAAGCTCTTTGAAATACCAAGGAGCTATCTGTAACTACAGTAACTTCCGGTGTCTGAAATGCACTTTGTATTTGCACTCTGGGAGTGACCTTTGTCCGTCCACCCCATCCCATCCAGGTTCGGGGACCACTCTTCCTCTCTCGACATCTGGGAAATCAGCTTATTCCACTTCAGATCAGGAGTGACAATGTAGATAGTCCTCTTGCACCAACTTGATTCCTCTTGAAGTGTCCTCCAACCTCAGGCACAGGGCCACAGCCTCTGAAGGACACTCCTCTGTGGGGGCAGATGCGTGCTCCTCGTCTACCTTGCAGGAGGCTCTGGGGTTAATGCCCACCTTGGCTTGCAAGAACAGCACCACCGGAGCATGCCCTGGGGAAAGGCACTGTCCCTTCTCAAGATGAATTCATTTTCCTACAAATGACTCAAGTGTATCCTTCTTTATGGCAGAGTAATATTCCCTTGGGTGTAAATACCACATTTTCTTTATCCATTCATTGTTGAACAACCTACAGACCCTAACATTATTATTGCCTTCAGAAGGCCTTCCAGGGAGGTGAAAATGGACAGCAAGAACCAGTTAGATTCTGTTTCACCTGTCTAGGTGTGTCGTGACGATGCCTGAACTAATGCAGACACTCCTCGCTGATGACTGAGTTCATTCCTGCGACTAGGTGGGAAAGTGAGTCAGTCCCTAAATGAAGAATTGTAGGTAGGATGTATATTAGGGTGTTCAGAACAAGTAAGAGGTCAAAGGAAACTCCAGCAGGATGACTTCACTTTTATTTGCATCACTCTTACATGCAGGGCTCTAATGTGTGACAACAGAAAACTACAGTACTGAGCTGTACAGTCAGCCAATTACAGTGCTGTATGAACAAGATGTACTGTACAAAAAAAAGACAGTGAGGCTCAGCCAACAAGATGAACAGAACTGTATATAAAAAGGGGTCCTAAGTCCTAGTGGCTGGATGTAAGTCTGAAGTGCACGCCTTGGTTGTAAGTCCAAGCAGTCGTTAACTGGATGGGTCCTCAAGCAAGGAATGTCTGAAACAGGAAGAGGAGGGACAGCAGCAAGGACGGCAGTGTTAGAAGAAATAGAGACGCTGGAGGCTGATTAGATTTGTAGAGGGAGCTTTAGAAACTCAAACCCAGCAATGATCTTCCCCCACTTGCGTGAGGTCTAATTTACAGGCTTCCTGATTTAATAAGGAAATAAGGATTCAAAGGTTGATACAGAAAAACGTGCCTTTCGAACTTGATGTTCTTTACACGAGTCATGAAAGTCATTCATTTTTTTAAAAACTGGAATAATTTAATATCAAAAAGCACCTCAAGGGCCAGGGATTTAGCTGAGTGGTTCTGCCACCTGCCTCAAAAGCACAAGGTCCCGAGTTCAATCCCCAGTACCAAAAAAAAAAGCACCTCAATTAAAAAATGTCCAAGCAATTGGAGTTCTGTACAATACGGACACAGTTACTTCAAATGAATTCAATTAAAAGCAAGAGTTGGGGGTTTTTAGTCTTTTTAACGATTTGAAAATTTTGCTGGATTTTCCTTGGTGTGATGCGTTAGCTTTCTGTTGCTGTGGTGACAACCACAAACCCGAACTTTCCAAGGACCCTGGGGTGATGAGGTTGGGCACCTCGAGAATCCAGGACAATTCCCCACCCCCTCCCTGACTAGACCACACCTGGGCACACTTTTGGCCATGTAAGGTCTCCTGTTCACAGGTTCCCGTCGGGGCCCAGGGTGTCTCTGAGCCTGTTCTGCTCACCTCGCGTCATGTCTTATAGGCGTTGTTGTGTTTGGTTTGGTTTTTTGAGGCAAGGTCTCACTATGTGGTCCAGGCTGGCCTTGAACTTGTTGCTCCACAGCCCAGGCTGTCCTCAAACCTGTGATCCTCCTTCTCAGCCTCTCGAGTGCTGGAATGACAGGCGTGCACCATGATGCCTACTGTAGCTACTATTTTTCATATGTAAGAAATAGCTTTTTAGGGTTCCCTGTTCCTGGGTTTCATAGCTGGATTCTCCTAGTAGTTATTCACAGTAAAAAGGAGCATATCAAAAATCTGGCTTGGTTGGGCAGGGGATTTAGCTCAGTGGTTTTACCGCCTGCTGCTCAAGCACAAGGACCAGAGTTCAATCCCCGGTACCCAACAACAACAACAAAAAATCTGGCTTGGTCAATTCCATTTCCAACTTTTTAGCAAAATGTTTTATTTTATGTATACCCTGCCTTGTCCTAGGTAACATCTGAGGAGACTCACACACCCTGCAGGATGCGATAAAGACAATGTGTCAGGCACTGCACGGCAGGCTCCGCTCTCCACTCTGTGCTAGTGGCAGAGGCCGGGGTTCGGTGCCAGGTGCTGGGGCTTCGCAGGTGCACCGGCTGGACGCGTGCCAGGCTCTGTCCGCTCTTGGCTGTGCCCTCACACTTTCCCTGATGCCTCTGTGACTCAGCTTCCTTTCCTCACTCATAAAGTGGGAGTTCATTCACTGAACCCTACATACGGAGCACTTGGGTATGAGCGGGATTTGGCTAGGTCCCGGGAGTGAGTGCAGCCGACGCACGAGGCTCGGCTTCCCCGTTGCTCAGATTTGCAATGGTGCAAACGCCAGGAGCCATCCACACAAGCGGCACTTCTGGTTCTGAATGCTGCTTTTCCAAGCTGGTGATGCACGCTGTGACCTTGTTGTGGGATGCAGCGAGTCAGGCCCTGTCAGCCACATGTCATCAAGGGAGCCCGGAGACTCTCTGTCTGTGGCCCTACACCTGGGGTGGCCAAGTGTTGAAAGATTTGCAATTTATGAGATTTTCAACTTGCCATGGGCTTGGGGACCTAACCTAAGCACAAGCTGGAGGATACCTGTGGCCTGGTTGCTAAGCAAATCCCCACCTCACCTTTGACTTCACATCTGCCTCGGCCTCTCTGTATTCCCACCATCCAGCTGTGGGGTGACGCCAGGCTGAGCAGCGACCCAGAAGCCACCCTGTGCTCCACCAGCCTCTGTGGGGCTCTGTGAGGGTGACTGCCCAGTGCTGAACAGCAGCCCCAGCACAGGAGTGAAAAAGAACACAGAAATCCCTGTGGATCCTGATGGAGAAATGGACCAAGAACTGGAACTGGAAAGACGTGCAGTGGAGAGAAATCAAGCAGGGAAAGGGGAGAGGGTGTGGAGTCTAAACAGGTGGCTGAGGAGGCTCCCTGTACAAGACAGACTGGAAGCAGGAGAGGCCGGAAGCAGGCAAGGAGGAGCTGAAGGGCAAAGTGCTGGAGTGGGGACAGGCCTGGACTGGCTGGAGACCCTGGAGAGGGATTCATGTGCTGGAACTGTCACGTGAAGACCTGCATCACAGGATCATGCTAAGGTACATTGTAAATAAAAACAACTGCACAAAAATCGACTAATTCCAGAGCACGCTCTCTTGAACAAGGTTCAAATCCCCCCATCCTTGGGTTATAATTTCTCCCTCCACAAACACCACCTTAGAGTGTTCCTGGACCTCAGGGGTTCCTCCAGACCCAAATGGCTTCTCCCTGCCTGAGCCAGCACCTGTGACCCAGTCTCTGGTGCTGTTTAGGGGTGATAGCACCCTCCCACACCCTGGGTGATGGTAGGAGCTTTAGCAACTCCAAGCTTGAGTCGGAATCCTCGAGCCACTTTTTAGCTGAAGCCTCAGAGATCCAAGATGAGGTTTCACCCTCCGCCAGCCCAAGCACTGCTGTCTCCTCTGCTCCCCCAAACACCCTGCTCCCCTCTGCATCTGCCCCAGCACAGAGCCTCTGCTCAGCGGAGCCCTGGTGTCCCCAGGCTGCAGTCGGGCCCAGGTCTCCACTCCTGTCACCAGCCCAGACCCCTAGCCCTGAGGATGGCTCTCTCTTAAGAACTTCACTGCCCTGGGTCCACCCTCCTCAGCATCTCCAACTGGCAAGCTCCAGCAGAGCTTGGCCTTTGGCCCCTTGTACAGCGCTCTGAATTCAAATGCACATCAACTGCCAGCCCCTTAGCCCCCCAAGCAGCAGCACTGCCTGATGGACAAGACGCAGATCTGTCCCAAACCAGGGCACAGGCGCCTGTCGGTCACATAAGCTACCAAACCGGCACGAAAAACTCTAGATGTTAGTCCAGAGCGAGCATCTTCACTCCCAGACTCAGTTTCCCTGTGTAAATGGACACAGTGCATCCGCCAATTGGTGGGCAGGTGAAAGTATCGTGCTCTCCTGTCGCTAGACCCTCATTCTCCACCTCTCCAGCTTCTCATAGCCTTGCTGTCTCTCATTCCCCACCCCGCCACCCCGCCCCTCCTGGGACCTCCAGGCCGATTCTCCAGCTCAGCCTCCTCCTGCGCTCCAGCTGCAGGACAGAGAAGGAAAAGCAACTGGAAAACATGCTGGGCGCGGTGGTACAAATCTGTCATCATTCCAGCACTTTGGAAGGCTGAGGCGGAAGGATTGCAAGCTCGGGACCAGCCTGGGCCACTCAGCAAGCCCGCGTCTCAAAATATAAATAAAAAGGGCTGGGGATGCAGCTCAGTGCAAAGGCCGCTGGTTCAGTCGCCAGTGCCGCCAGAAACGTAGCATGCAGAGCGTGTTAAGTCCCGAGTGAAATTACACGGTGAACTTTACAGTAACAATAAAAGGAGAGCGTGCAACCTCGAGGTGCTGCCGGGCGACATTTATCTAGGGAAGGGACGGTTCCCAGGTGTCGCCCAGAGAGGGAAGGCACAGAGGGGCAGGAGCGGAGCAGCAGCTGGTGTCTGGCCAAACAAACCACCGCTCCGTCTTCCGAGGGCGGCTCCGCTCACAAACTCGTATTTATTCATCCCATGCCCGCTCCCTGTGGGCGATGCAGGAAGGAAAACTCCCTGGGCCTCAGAGAATCAGATTGGAATTATTTAAGGCAACGTTCCAGCTCCTCCGAGACCAGGCCGCCTTCGTCTGCACTCCCTCCGATCGCCAGCCGCACGTCCGCCCCCACACGCACCTGTTGCCGCGTGGCCTGTGCCCCGCCCTGCTGCGGACACTGTGGGCCCCCGACCCCCAGACTGTCCCCCTGGCCGCCGCTCACCCCGGAATACTCTCTACCCAACGACCCGCTTGTCACTCCCCTCAGATCCCTGCCCACGCGTTTTCTTAGCAAAGTGGGTTTTCCACCTCTGTGAATTCATGGCTCCCACGCGCATGGCTCTCTGCTCAGTCACCCGTTTAGTGTTTCTGTTAGCTGCTTTTCCGCCATCTCAAGTTTTCCCAGGGGTGAGGGAAGGTGACGGATTGTGGGTCAGGGCGAGTGCACAGCTCAGTGTGCTGGGGGGGCGGGGCGGTGGCTGGTGTCACTGGACGAGAGACCCGAGGGGTACTCGCATCCCTGGCTCCTCCTGCTTCCTGGCTGCCGTGGGATAAGCAGCTGTCCTTGCCAGGCCCTTCCACCACGCTGTGCCTGCCTTGGAATGGCCCAACCATGGGCTGGAACCATGACTCAGGCAAACCCAGCCTTCTTGAAGGTGAGGGCGTCTGGTGTTTCATCCCAGCAGCGGGAAAGTGGCTAGAATGTGTGCACATACACAAACATTTCTACTTGCTTATGGTTCCCGTCCCCTTAATAAACTGGAAGCCCCTGAAGGTAGGCTTGCTGCTGTTTCCACTGCTGGACCCCCAGTGCCTGGAATGTTGCCTATGTGCACACAACGAAAAGGCTGTCTCTGCAGCCTGAGCTCCCCACCAACCCCGTGAGCCCCACCTCCAAGCTGTTGCCCCCAGGGCCGTGCCTCCTCCGTGATTCCCACCCTACCCCACGGGACAACTGGCAGGAAAGGACAGGAGGGAGTTTGCTAGAAGGGAAAAGGAAGGAGGAACTTGCCAGAACAAGGTCCCGGCAGGAAGCGACTGTGACAGGGAACTCGGGGAAGGGTGCAATTTCCTCTCGAGGAGGAGGAGGTCGAGCAGCCAGGGTCACTGAGCCTCAGCCTAGACCTGCATCTGGGTGTGGACTGGGCTGCCAGAGCCCCCAGTGCCCGCGCCTCCTCCCACCCAGCCAAGTCTTTGTGACCACCCACCCTGCCCTTGAGTCCAGGCCTCCACAACCTCCCCATTGCCTGTTTAAATAAAACAGGGGCCGGGGCTGGGGATTTTAAACTTTTATTTTTCCCGCAATCAGATAGCAAACACCTTGGAAAGCGCAGAGATCCACGCTTTCCAGATACATTTGGATTCTGACTCTGATACCACATTTCCCTAAATTGAAGCTGATGTCACACAACTTTACTTTACAGACCACTCACGCCTTTGGTTATAAATGGGACCTGATTTCAGGGTTCTGGGATGGGAAAAGACCAGCCCAAGGAATGGAGGAAAAATGGAAAGTGAGTGGCCAGAACCAGGGCCCGGTGCTCTCTGAACTTCTGACTTTTCATTTGTGAAATGAAAACCATGCTTTTTCCACCGTTCGGCCAATACTGACTGAGGGCTTTGGTGTTGGGACTTTTTCTGGCTCCCATTAACTTAAGCAAAAGAGGCTTCGCTGGGGCTGAAGATTTAGCTCAGTGGTTCCACCGCCTGCCTCACAAGCAAAAGGTCCCGACTTCGATCCCTGGTACCAAATAAATAAATAAATAAATAATCTTCAAAAAAAGAGGCTTCGCTGGAAGGGTACTGGGGCTCCTAGAAATAAGCTGGAGAGCAGGTCGGGGGTGCAGAAAGCCAAGGAGCACAGAGCCCTTCGAGAGCCTCACCAGGACCCACTGCTGGGGCACAGATGTGGCCCCGCCCTTCACGGACCCCTGGATGGAGCTGACTGTGCAGGGTCTCGGGCAGCACCCGGCCCGTGACTACCACAGTAAGCGGCCAACACTGTTAATGAATCCACCGCCCTGTCCCATCAGGGCCACACACAGAGAATCTCTGGTGTGACTGGGACACTGTGAGGAAAGTGACCAAAGGGGAAGGGGTGCTCTATGGCCAAAGAAAAATCAATTCCACGCATCCTGAACAGGCGCCACGCTTCCCGCCCCAAAGCAGTCACAGTGCCCAAGCCCAGGGCAGGGAGAGAGGAAGGAGGCAGACCCGAGCGACTGTAAGTCAGGAGACACTGCTCCCTGAAGGCAATGTCCACATCCAGTCCACATCCTACTCGCAGTCAGCTGCTCTGGACCCAGCAGGTCACGCTCTCCAAGAAACACTCTCAGCCTCCGGAACCGAGTCCTCATATTTCCTCCTCCTTCACGGCCGCCCCCTCTTCGCAGGGCCTTTATCTTGCCAACTCTTCAGTGCTAAAGGCCCAGGGCTCAGTCTTCAGACTTCTGCTCCACCACACACGGTGAGTCTAGCCAGGCTGGAGGTTTTAGAAACATCTGTACCCTAAGACTGCCGCCCTAGTTCCCCAACCCGAGCCCCTGCCCTGGCTCTCTCCAGTCGCTCAGCCAAGCCTGCCCGACCTTTCAGGACACGCAGCTCCTCGCCAGCCTTCCCGGCTCTCTCTCCACAGCTGAGGACTGGCGCACCGTGGGCTGCACGTCGTCTCCAGTCTGCGCTGTGGCTCCGGCCCCGGCGACCCGCTTCCTCTGCAGTCCTCCCTCCCGGGTGTCTTCACCAGGTGCGACCGAAAATACAGGAAATACGTCCCGAGGGCCGGCCAAGGAAGCAACTCGGAAAACGGCGCTGCGTCCCGGTCCCCCGGAGTCACCGCATCGGGCTGCCCCGGCGCCAGGGTGCCAGGGAGAGGAAGCGTGAGGATCGGCGCAGCAGCCGAGGCGGCCGGACAGCGCCGCTAAGCCCGCTGGGAGAGGGCTCCGGGGCCGCGCGGAGGCGGGCGGAAGGACTGGGGCTCCACGGCGACGTCTGAAACTCTAAGTTCAACTCCGTGTTTTAGATCGCTCCTCGAATACGCCGTAGTCAGCACCAAACACAGCGCTCGGCCCCAACCCGCCTGTTGGCCAGGGACGCGCCCGCGACGGAGAGCAGGAAAGCACCGCGGCGCCCGGACTTCCGGCTTCCCGACTTCCGGTCCGGCTGGCGCACCCCCCCCCGCGCCCCGCCGCGCACGCGCAGACGTGCACGTGGCCGGGGCTCGGACGTGCACTTCCGGCCACGTGACAGCCCGGCCCGGCGCGGGGAGCAGGCGCTGCTTCCAGCTCCAGGCTCAGGAGGAGAGGCTGCCCCCTGCTGGGCACCTGGACACCGTGAAAGGAAACACTCAGAGCCCGGGGAAGGGGCACTCTGCCCCCGCAGGTGCACCCGGGCTGCAGATTCGCATCTGTCCCCAAACAGCACGACTGCCGTCCACACACACAGCCCAGCCCACTTTCCCTGCCCCAGGACCTTTACACACGCTGCTCTCCTGAGCTGGGTGGCTCTACTGTGCTTAAGTAGCACTCCCTTGGTTTTCAGGCACATCTTGGAAATCCTCTGTGGATTTTAAATGTAAATTACGTCTCCAGCAGTTTTTTCTTTTAATTTTTCTTGGCACCTGTTTGCAGTACATGATTATATCCACCGTGGGGAGCTGGTCTATGGACAGAGCACATCTTCATTCTTTTCACTTCCCCTTCTCTCCCTCCAGCCCCCTCCCTCCAGCATTATTTTTATGACACTTTGATTTCTATTTTCTTCTTTCAGAGTATATTCCTTTTTGCATTTGTTTTAAATACATTTGTGCATTTCTTGGATAAAGTTTTCCAGGTGCTCCCTCGTTTCAAGACTAAGCTCCATGAAGGAGGCAGCCAGAACTGCTGGGTCTGCCTGTGTACCCCTCGTGCCTAGCACGGAGAACTGCACATAGGGTATTTGTTTCAGGTAGAAGGAAAGCCTTCAATTATCACTACTACTACTAATGTTAATACTAGCCTGTATTAGTTCATCGTGCAGCTAATTAAAATGCTGTTCTCATTTCCCGAAAGAGGATATGTGGATGGCGAATAAGGCCCTGAAGGGATTTCCAGCATGATTAGCTGTTAGGGAGATGCAAATTTAAAACGCAGTGGCTTATCACTGCCCTTCTATCAGAATGGCTAAAAAAACCCTAGTGGTGACAACTAAACGCTGGATGGATGGGAGAAACTGCGTCACCCCACACTGCCAGGGAGGGGTCACAGTGGTAAAGCCACTCCGGAAAACAGCTCTCAGTTTCTCAAAACTTCAACTCACAACTGCCAAAGCCAGAGAAATGAAAACTGGTGCTCATACCAAAACCTGTACACAACCGGGTGTGGCAGTGCATACCTGTAATCCCTGCCACTCAGAAGGCTGAGGTAGGAGGATTCCACTTCTAGGACAGCCTGGGCAACGAACCCTGACACAAAATAAAAGGGGCTGAGGCTGTAGCCCAGTGCTGGAGCACTCGCCTAGCATGCAAGAGGCCTTGAGTTCAGGCCCCAATAAAAACAAAACAATGTACACAAATGGTTGCTTATAGCAGCTCAATGATATCCACCAGAAAATGCCAATGGTCTACATCTCCTTCCATAGGTGAATAGTGAAACACTGGTACCTCCATACCACAGATACTACTGAGAATACAACCGGAACGAACTCCTGAGATGAGCTGAATGGGTCTCGAGAGAATTATGCTGAGCGGGAAAAACCCAAGGCCTAAAAGTGACATAATTGAGGATTCCATCCATATAGCAACTCCTGAAATGACACGGTTACAGAGTGAACAGCTGCTTGCCAGGGCCCAGGACCTGGAGGGTGTGGCTGTGACAGGCCAGCACTAGGGTCCTCGAGAGGAAGGGATGTTCCGCGCTCACAGCGTCCCTCAGCACCCTTCCTGACGCTGCGCAATAGTTCTGCCTAATGGTACCAGCATGGGAAACCGAGGCCAGAGCACAGGACACCTTCCTGAGTTGTTTCTTAAGGCTATATAAGAATAAAATTGTAATCAATAAAATTTCCAGTAGAAAATAAACCGTGCCTCGTCTCCGGGTAGGCAGCTGCAGCTGCGGGACCCTGCGCTGTCTGCGGGTGCACCCCCCCCATGCCCACTGCTGGGGGTTCCCGGATTTGGCGGGGTCTCGCTCACACCTTCTGGGTGCTCTGCCTCACCAAGCGAGTCTAAGTTATTCCCGCGTCCTGCAGAGATCAGTTGCATTTGTGTGAGGAGGAGGGTTTGACAGTGTCTTTTCTCTTACCTGAGTGTGTCCGGCACTCCACGCCTCCCCTCTTGCTAGGACAGTGCCATCTCCCAAGTGGGCAGTGGCAGCAACCACACCCTCCGTGGACCCTGGCATAGTGGCCTCACCTGGGTCGCAGGGTGAGTGTGGGTGAATACACACTGGGTCTGCATGGACGACGCCCCCACGAACTCTTCCGGCTCTCTGTGGGGATGATCCACCAGGGATCTCAGCCAGCCGGCTCTGCAAGGTGCGGGTCCCCAGAGCCAGGGACGCTTCCTTG